ACGTCGTTTGTCAAAAAAGTATATGGAAAAATAAAAATCAAGTTTAAGTCATTTTATTCGACTTTACGTCTGTCCGCCATAAATATTGAAGTTGTAATATCACTAGAAAAACGTTTAAAGCACATAAAATCATATTAAAATATATACATTTACAAGTATGTACTGTATTTACAGTACATGTATTCGTAAATTTAGAATACTTTTTTCTGTACTATATTAAAAACTAAAATTTATTTGTTTGTAAGCTTAAAATAGATTTTTATTAACCATATATTATTAAAAATGCAATAATAAATAAAATACAAAACTGGGAATGGTAATTTATGGTTTAGCCTAGTGACAAGTAGATTCGGAGACAAATAAATTCGAATTACGTCGCCTCTCCTGGAATCAATTACCGACATAAGGCGAGGTATACCTGTATATGATGTAATTGTATTATATTAATGTACATTTCATTCACTTTCTCTTTCCTGCAGTGCCCACCAATGGCCAAGTAGATAAAACCACAACACTGGTAGTCTGTCATGGGTTCATGTATGACCATCAGGCTGGCCATGGGAGTTTGCAGCTTTTCTTCATGTTAGTAGCACCTAAATAGGGGCAGTTTCTCATAAAAGACCTCCCAGGAGGCATTCCCTCCTTGGCAGATCAGCCATGTGTTACATTGCCATAATCGAATAAAACCAAACCACTGTCAGGCATAGTTTTGACCAAGCCTATATGACCAGATGATGGCAGACAGGTAACAACATATCTGGGTCAAATTACTCTCAAAAATTTGAGCTTCCAACCTGGATTTATCCTGCCACTTTGGAGAGCCTGATGTCTTGGCCATTCAACAGCAAAAAAACCTTATGGTTCCACCCAAAAATAAAACTTATTCTGATATGGATTATTCTTAATTAAAATCATCCCATAAACTTTATTTATTTGAGAGTAAATAAAGAATATTTGACTTACAATAGATATACTTAACTAGAAAATCTGACTTAAAGTTACTTTGCATCTTTATCAATTGTGAAAATATTACATAAATAATAGATGCATTATATAACAGTAATAATTTTGTAATGCTTAAGCTTTATATAACACTTAAATTATTATTACAAATTAGTAAAATGTAAACTATATCATAGAACTACGTATATAAAAGATAAAATAAATTTTATAAGTATTTCTTTACTTACAGTTTTCAGTCCATACAACAGCATTAAGCTTGCCAAAAACAATAATACATATAAGATTAATACTGCAAGACGAATACCAAGCAGTTGCTTGAGAGTGTAGTCTGAAAGAAATTATTTTTATTTTTGCAATTATATAAAACATACTTCTTAAATTCTAACTCAGCTCTTTTTTCTTATAAGCTAAACTATATTTAACTCATTTTATAGGGTTAAAGATTACTATTAATTATTTTCAATACTTCTATGCTTCATTTCTGACTGCCTCTTAGTAAAATTTTTAAGATAAGTGAATGAAGTTTATTCTGAACTGTATTCCACGATAATCAGATGAGCAAGTGATAAATGTGGCAGTCTATCATAGTGTGGGACCTGGGATCAAGTCCAGATGGGTAAAAAAACCTCCAGGAATTTTTAGGGATTGTCCATCCAGATATATCACCTATCCTTCACCACCTGGCTGCCCCATTATGGTCCTGGCCAAATCCATAATGAACTTGCTACAAAGAGGCCTTCCTAGTGCCCACTGGACAATAAGTGTTAAAAAAAAAAAACAATTGTATTTCATTTTGAATACCAAGATGATAAGTTAGAACAAAATATTGTGAAATAACAATCTGAAGATGAGCTTTGAAAACCAGGACAATAATTATAATTTTTTTAAAAATTTACAGGAAAATAATTGAATTTTATTGTAGGCAGATAACAGCCTAAAATAAGGTTTACTCTATAAAAATTGTAATTCTGAGGTGTGATATGGATGAAGGAAGAATTTTTTTGTTTTCTTCAATTCTTTTCTTGTAAATGTCTTAAAATATATCTTTGTTTTGTGACATGCAATAAATTTTATTAGTATATATAAATTTTATAGCTATGTGCTACTTAATGACATGGATATGTTTTGAGAAATATGTCATTAAGCTGGATTTAAGTTCTTGCATATAGCATCTAGCATGCAACAAAAATGCTATTTAATGCATTTTGGATGCCACATTCAAGAATTTAAATTCAGCTTTAATTAAGCAAACATGAGTGTACTTAGTCAAATCTGTATGGTATAGTCTATATAGGTTATATGTAATACAGTTGTAACACAATGATAATATTTATACATCTAAACATAGAAAGGTACAGATGGCTACAAATTTTTCAGCTCTGTTATAATCTTATGTGACTGCCATTTTATATGCACTCTAAAATAATTATATAGTATGGTATTTTAGCATCATTTTATTTCCTATGATCTATCTAAATTCATCGTAATGAATCTTACTAAAATGTATAAAAAACAATCTTATTTATGAATTAATTTCCATTATAAATTTCTGTTCTAGTAGAACTAAATTACTTAAATCTTACCTGCTTTCTCATATGAATCTTCCTTCAGTGCCATCATACAAGTATAATAACATATCTTGAATAGACAGTATAACTATAGAACATGAAAATTATATACATATTATCTATTAAATTATTTCAGAAATGTTATAAATTTTTGTTTTATATTAAATTTAAAAGCATTTAATTCATCAATATTAAATAATAATTAGCCATATAATAGACAAGTCTTGATAGAATAAAGGCCCAAAAATTTATCTTATAATATTAAATTGTCTTGTGACAAATGATGAAAAATCTGTTTTTGATTTTATTCATTTATCTTTATAGCTTTGGAAATGAATAGGGTTTTATTACACCCCTCAATATCTCAAAATTACAGATAATTTTTTATTCCTGTAATTATATAAGTAGTTAATGGAATCAAAATTTAAGATAAACATTTAAGATGAAAGGAAATTATAAAATCTTTGTGTTTTTTGCAAAATATAATTTACTAGAATTAGTTGTGAATGGATATAGAATTCAGTAAGATTGACAATTTTTACAGCTGTACAAGTAAAAATGAATTATCTGATTTCAGTTTTGTAATGAAAACAGCAATGTATGGTAATTGAAGTAATGTAAGAAGTGCCTAAGAAGAAAAATGATATGAAGTGAAAATACAAGTTCTTCCAGAAAAAAATTCTACCATTTTAAATTATTGAAATTATTTACTTATTCCAAAGCTGTCTTCTTTTAATTATTCTTTACTTTATAACTGGGTGCATAGGTAGACACTGGGCATCTTTAACATCACTCTTTATTCAGGAATATCTTACACATTGATATGCATTTCAGTAAAAATGCGAATTAGTTAGCATCTCTTTACTAAATGTCTTAAAGTAAAAGCCAACTGAAGAGAGGTGTGTGTCCAAAACGCATATCGGTATACAAGACATTCCTGAATAAATAGTGATGTTAAAGATGCCCAGTGTCTATCTATGCACCCTAGTTTTGAAGTAAGGAATATTGTAATTATGTTATGTTAATTATTATCCGAGGATGTTATAATGTACATTAAAACATTGGAAAACTGTCCAAGTTTTACGTTTGACCATTCCAATTTCTCAATGCTTGCATTCTGTGTCACACAGCACACATCTAACTAATACTCAAATTCTTCCAACAATTCCTGCAGTATATCCATTGTCACTCCTCCCACAGCAGCCACAATTCTATAGCTCCTGTGAATGCAAATTACTCATGTCATACAATGTAAGTCACTCTGACTTTGAGAACTGTAGAACACAACACCTTTATTGCAGAATTGCCATTTTTGGTTATGGCACTTTTTAGAGATGGTAAACAACAGATGTTTCAATGCAGATGGGACATGAAACTCAGACAGTTCTCTATGCAATAATAACATAGTTACAGTAATCTAATATGGCAGAATTCATTTTGGAAGACCCTGTATTGTTGAAAATTAATGAACCTGAAATAATATATCATAAAATATATAAGATTTGAAATTATTTTTATAAACTAATACTTTATTAAAAACTGATTCAGTTTTCATAATTAAAAGATTTTAAAGAAACATTATTGTTTAACTTACTGTGCTGAAGATGCCGACAAGCCAAGCAGCAACAATAACTTTGAAATATTTATAATTCTTAAGTTCAATACACATTCTAGCTTTTATTCATAACACCAGCCAAACAGAACATCCAATATAAATTATTGCACAACTCTAAAATTAGAATTGGATAATTATTATTTCCTGTAATCTTCATATCAGTGGCACATTATCCTACGGGCAAAAAGGGCAACTGTCTGGAGCCCCATGCCTATCTTTTATAAGAAAATATTTTCCCCTAAACATTCCCTGAAGAAAGTTGTCCAAAGTCAACACTATATGAGGCCTCCTAATTCAAATTTACCTGAGGGCTATAATGTGCCACTGTTCATATGAAAATGTAAATATAAACTGATTCAAAATAAATATATTTTTTCAACTTATATAACTTTCCCAATGCATCTTTATCAATTTTAGATTTAGAACATAAAATTTAATTAGTAATAAGTAATCATCAGTTTTATAAGAATATTCATATAAAGTAGTTTAATATTAAATTATTCTAATTTAAATACAATATGATTTTAGCATGTAATACTGTTAAAGATGTCACTCAGAAATATCATCATAAGTTTCTGGCAGATGTACTTAATGAAAAAAAATGTTTCAGCAATTAAAATCAAGCAAAACAAATATCAATTCTAGAAGTACTGTCAATCAGGACATTAATTTTTTTACATTAATGCCAATGGGGATGAGTTACGGTAATCTCCGACTCTTTTGGATAAGTTATATGAAAAAAATCCATTGCAAATAAATATTTAAGTAAACTGAAGAAGAAATTACAAATCACTAAGATACACATAGAGTAAAGATTATATATTTCCATTTAACTGTAATTTTTTTTTAACTCTTGCCCATGGCCACCAAGAGGATTTGCTTATTATGGGTCCAAAAAAGCCCGAAATAGAACATGTCACTAGTGAAGAACCCCACATACTCGGGAAATGTCTGAAGATGCAAATAGAATTCAAACTTGTATCTCTTGGAAAAGAGAGTATTCAATTAGATGACTGAGCGAGCAGTTAAGGTGGCATTCTCCACTATGGAGAATCCATGATCGAATCCAAAACGGAATGGATTGATCCTGGCACAAATCCAGGCCCAAAATGGGTCTCGCCAGATATATCCGGACGATCCAACTCCCGAAGAATTCCTATCACTCTGGGGAATCCATTATGTAATTGATTCTGGATTGAATCCAGGCCCACGATGGGCCTCACTGGGTGGCCAGACATATCTGGACAGTCCATTCCCACCTGATTCGATCCTGGGTTCCCCAGAGTGGTAGGAATTCTTCGGGAGTTGGACCGTCCGGATGTCTGGCCATCCAGTGAGGCCTATTGTGGGCCTGAACGAACACACGACGAGTATTTATAAAAGGCTCCGAAAGAATCCTTACTTAAAATAAGAAACAACGTTTGAATTTTTATAATTACTCAATTACTCTTTCTAAAATTTTAAAAGTATAACACAAATATTAAATAAAAATAGGAAATAAACTTAATTTTATCAATATTTCCCTACTCAATTTCGCAAAAGTTCCATTTTCTAGAATCTACCGAATCGTATTTTCAAATTTCAAATATATAAATTTCTACCAGGAGGAGTTAAATATTCAGTTGCAAGTTTATTAAGTTTTGATTATTTAAATTCTTTTACATGCTAGATTTTTACTTTTATACCTTTCAGAAATTATTTTTAAATATAGTATATAATAAATTATAAAATTTTATTTTTGCAATTTTTTTTTTTTTTCTAGTTTTTATGTTTTTATAGACTTGAACTGGCAACAATATTCAGAACTTTTCGATATGCAAAGTGTTGCCAGCTTATAACCCGATTAAGAAAATTATGAAATAAAAAAAAATTTATATTTCAGATAGTTTATTTAATTTTTTTTCGTTCTATTGTTTTCGCTCTCTTTTATTTATTTAAAAATATTCAAATTAAAAAAGAAGTTTCAGTATCTAATGTTTTAAATAACGTTAAAATATATTTAAATGCAATTTAAACTCTACTTTCGAATTTTCCTTTACGTTATCTCAGATCACGTGCAATCAACGTTGCTAGTGTCTGTCAGAAGTGCAGAAATACTGCAAAAGTTCAATTTGCATCTAATTTTGCCGAATTGTCAATCGACACACCACAACAGACCATAATCATTGCACAAACTTGCCGTTTTTCTTGATACGCCGCATGTATACGACCGCTTTTTAAGTGCCAACGTTTCGCATTAAGTAATCACATAATCGATAGTCATTAACTAACGATAACAAAAGAAGATCGATTATCTTAATTTGAGAGACGAGCTACGTACAAATTGCTAATGATTTTATAACAACATCGATTAATTTAAATTACGAAAGCCGCTAGTGGTATACATTCAAGTCACAAAAATGAAATTTTCTAAGTAAAATCGAATATCTACAGGTAACTCCATGGATGAAATTTACATACGAGGTGATTGTTACTGTTGTTATATGAAATATTTATTTCGTTTGATTCTTTGGATGAACGCTTCTTTCCCCAATAATGCCAGAGAAGATTCTAAATGGACAAAGACCAATAAATTGCTGGTTACTTTATATCTTTTCGCTAACATCACTTTCGAAACGAAAGTGATCGTTATAATACTAAAATACTTGTTAAAGATGGATAAATTGGGAGTTTATCTAGCATTTAAGAACGTCTTCCACGGCAATGCTGATACATACTTGATAATGACGTTAACGTCATTAATGATTACAAGTACAGTAGAACCTCGATTATCCGGACTAATTGGGGATGAAGGTGGTCCGGATAGTGAAAAATTCGGATAATCGAAACAAATACTTTAATTTGTCTTTTAATGATAATACAACACGTTTTATTTTCGATTACATATCGGTAATATTAAAAATAAATACTGTACTGTATTTAAATCGTGATCAAATTTTCAAGAAACAAACGTTCGTATTGAATTTAAGACTACTACTGACCAACGCTAACAGAGGGTACGTTCGTAAAGTCAAACGAGTTAAACGCGTTAGTAACGAATCGTTCGAAAAGTAGTAGCCTCGCTCAGTGCGCATGCTCTGCGGTGATGACGTTTCGAACGCAACTCTAACGAAGTTCACGAAGGAAAGAGTTAGTTTACTTCGTTAAGAAAATGGCGCCCGACGATATCGATGTTTCTAAATCTATTCGAGTGTTTAAATTGTGAATTAAAAGATGAAATGATTGAAGTAACTGTCCACCCGAAGCAATCTAAGAAAAATATTTCGGATAAGGCTGTACTAGCAACATTTGTATCTTCGATTTCAGAAATAGCCATTTAGTTCTAAACGAATCGTTCGAAAAGTCTAACGATATAAGAATAACGATGACATCATTCTCGTTTAACTCGTTCGACTTTACGAACGTGCCCAGACTACCTATTGTTTAAAAGGCCCTCTGGTGGCACAAGAAGACGGATTTTATAAAATAAAAAGCAGTTGAAATTTTTATGAATAAAAATTTGACAAACTATTTATCGTTTTATGACGAGTAAAAGTTTTTTGTCGCGTTCGCGGCTTTTAAGTAATGCATAAACCTTCGAAACGCGAGGCCCTTCGGACCGCGAGGCATAGGCGGTGGCCCAAGTTGCCCATGCCTTATGACGCCCTTGGTCATAGAAATGATGTAATTTGAAAATAAATTATTTATAATACGTATGTCAAGTTATATTTTTATTATGACGCAAAATATATTTAAGAGTTTACGGCCACTGTGCCGGTTGAGACGTTGTTGAAACAAAAAAGTTATGAATTCCACAACGTACATAAACAGTATCGTAATTCGCCAAGTGCAAGTCAGTAAATTAGTAAAATTTTTGTTTATTTTGAACAATCCGGATAATGGAGGTCCGGCTAATCGAAGTTCTACTGTATACAGTTTCTTTATTTTGCGTATTTTGCTAAAAATAATGGATCGGATCAATTGTGTCGATTATGGAAAGCAAATTTCCACAAAACTACTAAAGGTAGATACCAGAGAAACTTGGAAAATCACCTATTTTTACAAAAGGTCATCGTTCCTACAATCTTATCCGTAAGTATTGTTATGCAGTTTTTTTCTTGGAGCATTTTATTCGTTGAAAGCTTATACGGAATTTACTAAAAATTATAATACGTACGTAGCTTTGATAATTACCATAATTACGTCTGCTAGTTCAGTATTATGTGCGATGTTATGGATATCGATCGCTGCTTATGTTACTCTGACAGCACATGCCATTTCTCAAAAGTTTCAAGAAGTTTCCTATCACTTAAAAATCATTCTTAGGAATTACGAAGAAGTTAAAAATATTAAAATAATCCAAATCCGACATAGTCAAGTCATAGATATGGTTACAGCTGCAGATCTCTTTCTATCTCCGTTTATTTTCTTGATGTATCTATGTACTGTGCCAGCCACTTGCTTTGTCCTACGATATTTATTCTTTATGGAACTTTCTTATTTCGAAAAATGTGTTTTACTCGACTGGATCATTAGTTTCTTAACTGTATGCGTCATCACTACACTTACTTACGGTCAAGTCGTCGTAAATGTGAGTGTAAATTCTTTTATCGATGACGATCTATTTTTCATTCTATTAACTTAATATTTCAGGCACACGAACCGGAAAAACTTCTTCATGAAATAATGAATTTATCATTAAAAGCAAAATATAAATTATAAGTAAGTAATCTATCTATATATATAATCGAGAAGGATGCAGGGTAGGTGGAAAGTAAGTAGGCGTTGAGAAATCGCTGTAATTTATATAATTTTGAATCAAACATGATAAAAATTATTTGACATGTATATTACTAAATGGAAACAAGATACATTCCTTAAAATTCAATAAAAACTCCGGTGCCATTTACCAATGATACATTTTCCTCAAACGAATTGCGACATTATGAGGTTACTTCACCGTACGCCATCTATATCCACACCTCAATGTGCTAGCTCTTGAATAGGAGCGGTCGGCCATCCTTTTTGCCACTGCGCGTGGAGCCTCTCTCAGTCAATGCCCACACCATTGATGAGGAATTATAAAATTACTTTAATTGTTGTACTGTACATACACACAAATTTTATTACGATTGCATTATTATTACAAAAATTATAACGATTTTTAATGCCTACTTACTTTCCGTCCATTCTGTTGATTTGCAACATCTTTTCAGTTAATTCTTGTACATCGCTCTTGATTATCCGTGATAATTACAATATTTTCACGACCCACGGATAATCGGGAGTTCTGCGTATTTTATTTGTATTAAGATGCATCAGTTATTTATTGTCAGATATACCTATTTCTCGAGAGGTTGCACGGGCCAACGATTGGTTTAAGCTGTTTGGGAATTTTTGTCGTTACGAAACGCTGTCTAATGTAAGTTGATGCATCATTATTAATTAATTCATGTAAAAATGTTCAATTATCGATTCCTGTAATCCACATTCCTGTTTTTCAGCTTTGCAGTATGATCGCCACGTATCTCTTAATGTATATTCAATATAGTGTTGATAAATAAGAGTCTAAAAATTAAAATATTTTGTGAATATCGTAAAATAAAATTAGGTTGGGGAAAAAGAAATCCATTATTTTGTTGCTAGATGGCTTTAGTGATATATATCTTGTAAAGTATTGATGAAACAAGTTCAGACTTGTACTCGTTGGAAAAGTGACATTCCATACTAAAGTTTTTTTACAGTTTTTTGATTGGTCGATTCAGTTGAGTTATAGGGTGTAAAAAATGGAAGTTAACAAAGAGAAAATTAGGTGTTTTACAATTTTGCTTCGATAAAGACGAAAATGCAAGCCATGAGGCTGAAATTGTGAATGGTGTTTATGGTCTCAATACTGTCACAGCCAATTATGCGCAACTTTGATTTCGTCGATTCCGTTCTGGTAATTTCGATGTTAAAGATGCACCTCACACAGGTAAGCCCATTGTCGATAAAATCATGGAAATGATCGAAGTAGACAGGCATGTTAGCAGTCGTAGTATCGCCCAGGAGCTAAAGATTGACCACAAAACAGTTTTAAACTATTTGCATAAAGCTGGATTCAAAAAGCTCATGTTTGCGTGCCGCATGAATTGACACAAAAAACATGATGGATCGAATTTCCATTTGCAATGTCTTGACCAAACAGGATTAAATCGACCAATTTCTTAAATGGATGATGGATGACTGGGGATGAGAAATGGGTTACATACAACAATATTCTGTAAAAACGATCATGGTCAAAATGCAGTGAAGCAGCTCAAATGGTGACCAAACCAGGATTAAAGGCCAGGAAGGTTTTGCTGTGCATTTGGTGGGACTGGAAAGGAATCATCTACTATGAGCTGCTTCCATATGACCAAACACTAAATTTGGACCTCTACTGTCAACAATTGGACCATTTGAAGCTAGCGATTGACCAGAAGCGGCCAGATTTGGTCAATAGGAGAGGTGTTGTGTTTAATCAGAACGCCAGGCCACACACATCTATAGTGACTGGCCAGAAACTCAGGGAGCTTGGTTGAAAAGTTTTGATGCATCCACCTTATAATCTGGACCTGGCACCAAGCAATTACCATCTTTTTTTTTATCATTGCAAAACTTCCTTAGTGATAAGAAATTGACATCAAGAGAAGATTGTGAAAATCACTTAGTTGAGTTTTTCACCAATAGGTACCAGGGCTTCTATGAGAGAGACATGAAATTACCTTTAAAATGGCAACAAATTATAAAACAAAACGGTGCATATTTGACCCAAGTCGGACAATCCAAACCATGTTAAATAAAGTCTTGAAATAAACGTAAAAATAATGGATTTCTTTTTCTCCAACCCAATATATTCTTTTATAAATCATTTAAAGTATTTCGCCTGAAATTACGGTTGTAAACATTACTGTAAAACACAAATCTAGCAACTATAATAGTTTCGTAACTTTCCAGGCTGTTATTTTTAAGTCTCATATTAATCATAATAAAATTGTGTGGGGCACCATCTGTTACGAAATTTTGTTATAAAAGTTTTTATTACAATAATATAATTTTGCGAGTAGTGATGTGTTGTATTAGCATTTACAAGTCACTATTGTCAAATTTCGTTTCTTAATCTCTAACCCATCCTGAGATATTAAAAATTAACTCTCTAATCAGTACTTTCTTTTCCCCATTTGTCTTAAGTTCTGATTGAGTCTTTCCCATCTAATTTGAGGTCTGAAGAGATCATCTTAAGTGATCTCTTCAGACCTCAAATTAGGAGTTTCAGTTAGTATTTGATACATGGTCAGACAGTGATTAAGATGCCAGTCTACTGTCCTGAGGAATCCACATACATTGAAAACCTGAAACTTTTTTGGGGATGGTCCATCCTGGATTATTTTGGACCCTGTCCTCATCACCTGGTCACCACATTGTGGGCCAGGACAAATTGATAAAAAGACCATAGTACCCACAGAGTGAAAAAACAAGTTGATACTTGACGAATATCTGTTGGGCTCTGCAAATTGCATCAGCTACCCATCTTAATTTCCTTCTCTCTATTGTTTGAATTATACTGTCACTTTTCTAGAATTTTGAATTATGAAGCAGTCTCCAATCTCTGGCAACTTCATCTTGTTTTGGACCATATATTCTTGGAACTTTATTTTCAAAACACTATGTAGTTTGTTTTCTTAGAGCCTAGCTCTCTCACCCGTACATTATTATAGGAAAGATTATTCTTATAAAGTTTAACCTAGAGATTTTTTCATAGTTTCTTGGATGATAAGAGATTTTACAACTAGTAATTATATATATTTAAATCGTGAATCCATGCATAAGTTTTTTCTTCATTCAAAGTATATTTTAGGATACTCCACACATATTTGAAGTTTGGCACTTTGTACCTTCTTCCAGATAAATTCTAGTAATGTTCTCATCTCTGTTCCAAGACCATATATTTTGTGTAAGTAATATTAATGTTTAGGCCAGTTTGGATGTTAGAATTGCATGTCTGCTTGGAGGATCCATGCATATGTGCAATTCTAAATCACATCTATTTTTAAAATAATTTAAACAAATATTTGGTTTTTTCTTTATTGAGCATTTTTATAAAATAATACACAGAATTTTAATGTAATTGGACAAAACAAGCATTTGAAATACTCTGAAAAAAACAGATTTTCAATTGATCATAAGATTTTCAATACCAATCTTTTCATTCCATCTATGAGCAAGTCTGTTATGACTAATTTATATGGCACTGAATAAATTAGGATTTATAAGTACAAATATTTAAAAGGAAAGTTATGAATTTATAAACAATGATTTCATTTAATGCAAACTTAATATTTTCATTCTTAAGTTCTAGAGTGAAAAATTTAACTGTTATTTAGATTGCCAACAGGACAAAGTGAGATATAGAAATCTTAATATTTAAATAAATAATTTTTTAGCTGTTCTAGTACAACAAGAAATTTTCTAGAACAGTTTAATAACCAATTTCCAAAAATTAAAATCAAACAAATGCCATAAATTATATAAAAACTACTCTAAAAACTGTTTTTATACGTATTTTGCATGTTATATTAAAATTTTAAGAATGTTTATATGAAAGAAACTCTTATAATTGTAAATAATAATTTTTGATTTGCTTTGATTGATATGCATATCACACTCTCTATAATTTTTTAAAACATGCATAAGAAATTTTATTTATTTATTTAATTATTTAATAAATAAAATAAAAATTAATTACATTACTTCTTCAAGATGCAAACATCACAATAAAATTTATAATTTTTTTAAACATAAATAAATTATCCATTACGTCATAATTACTCATTTTATGCGTGTAAAAAAGTCTTTCATTCTACATAAAAAAGATTTTATTAAAATTCATTATTTTACATGATGCTTTCCTCCATTATTCTAGTGCAGAGATTCTCTTTCATGCTGAAATATGTCTATATGAGTAAATATTATGACTTCTATATCGATAATATCCATGTAATTAAGTATACAGTCATTATTTCCAATAATGACAATTTTTGGCAATCTAAATAATCTCAAATAGTCATTACATTTTGTAATGATTATTTTTGTAATGATTTTGTAACTTTTTCAATAATTTACAAGATTATTATATTTCAAAAGGCACAAAATATAAAAGTATGATACTGGTTTATGAAAACCTTGTATTCTGGCAATTTTTTAACCTCAGTAGCTTCTAAAGATTGAAATTTAGGGTTTTAATTTGATTGCAATTTCATATTTCCTAATTGTGTTTAATGTCTCGGCTAAATTTCCAATGGTTGCTTCATTAGGATATTTTTCTTTCCAAGCATTGAGCATTTGATAAATTGCTTCATCTTGATTTCTTGGATTATCATCTTCAAAGGTTTTTAGCTTTCCTTCTGAAAATACTTTTCCTTCTGTAAAAAAAATAACTTTATGATTACGTGTTTAATATTTATATACAGGATATAAAATTTTTAAGAAAGTCATATTAAAGAATGAATTAATGAATATACATTTCAGTAATTAAGTGCAAACATTTGATGACATGTACAGTACATGTGAAAAAAGATCTCTAATGTGGCATGTAAAATTTAATGGAGCATATGATTGCCTTTTATAGTAATACACACCTCACAGCAGTTTCCTGTATTGTTTACAGAGCAAATTGATCAAAATAACTGAAATATTTTGTCGTTCTTGTTGTATAGCCAATTGGAGTTCCTAGAGATTCTGAGGGTGAAGAGATGAAACATCTCCCTAGAGCAAGGGGGCAAATCTACAGCATGTCTGAAGAAATCATGTGGCACTCAATTTCAGTTTATCATCTCTTTTTTCAATTATCTTTTTGGTTTATCATCTGATCATCCTTTTTACATCAGCTTCTTTATATTTATTCTAATTAAAGCATATTTGTTTCATTTCCTTAAATATCATTATAAAATCTTAAAACTTTGGCATATATACAAATATTTTAAAACATGACTGTGCTCACTATATGGCATGCAGACTCAAAACGGTTCATCATCCCTTCCCTAGAGCATCCCAAATGAGCACTACAAGATTGAGATTGGGGAAAATTTGCTGGGACTATATACAGGTTATGGTATTCAACTCAAAATACTGATCCACAATCCATTCTATCAGAATAAGAATAAACTGAATCTCTATCACACCCACATAAGGTCCGACAAATTGATCTAAGATTTCATCCCTATACCTCTGTCCTATCAGGTTGTATGGCTGCCCAAACCATAACACCTCCACAAATATCGCTTTTCAGGATGTTTGAGGGATGATAGTAATACCTGCTCCTCTGCAGATCAGAGTATTTAGAATAATTCTGAAAAGCAAACCCGAACTCATCCTTAAAGAGAGAAGACACTTTGTTCCTTGTCCATGAAACTTGCACCAGTTTAGATGTTCCTGCTCATTGCATAGTGAGAGAGTGAAAGGTGCATAGACCATTTTCTCCTAACATAACCACCCTCATGAAGCATTCAACTAATGCCAGATGTCAACACCATATTCCCCAAAGTATTTTTGTGGTCAAATTGCATCCAAGGCAGTTTTATCTGTTGCTATCTTAATCAAACAGCTCAGATACATCTGTCTTTAGTTGTTGAATTTTGGACAATTAGTGGTGGTCTTCCAGATACTGACCCAATCTGTAGAAATGATTCTTTACTCTGAATGACAGACAGGCTAATGTGCAACCATCTAGCAATTGCTACATGCAACTTACTTGCTTCAATTCTTTCATTTTAAAGTATCTAGAAGTTGAGATGATCTGTGATTAGATTCAGATTGCCTGGACATGAATTTAAAAGTTGACAGTGAAAAGCTTTCATAAGTATGGAATTTCAAATGTACTCAATAGCTCAGAAGATGGCATACTTTCAGATAACGATTCAGGCATGAGTTCTGACAGTGATGAAAAATATGATTAATCATTTGTGTGAGTACTCCGAATGCTGTGACTTCTCTACCATACCATTGCAGGCAATTTATTGTATTATTATCATAAAGTAATGAAATTTGTTTAATATGTAACCAATTAAATTGATAAAGATTTTTCTCTTATTTCATTTCTTTTTTGTTTTTTGTTCTCCTTACAAGTATTTTAAAAAATGAAGTGCATATGTTACTGTGAAAGACCGAAATTAGAGAATGTCGATATTTTCCAGTAAATGTCGACACATACAAAATACATCGGTGAAAGGCCGAATATTTGGTTATATTATTATAACTTCGAACAATCGCCGGTGTATGTCGACAAGCACAGATAAGCTTTGGTGGAGGTCGAAACGACACCCGAGAAGCTGATGTCAACAGA